CCTGCCGCTGGACCCACAAGATGGCGGCCATGGCGCAGACCTTGTTGGATGAGGCGCCTCTTCTCCCCTGCCTGCTTCTCTGTGAGCTGAATTTGCTGGAACAAAGCATCCAGGTTCATTATTGTGGAAGCGGTGGGCTCTCCGGGTCTTGCTGTGTTTGCGGAGGGCTGGCTGATCGGAGCTGGGATGCCCAGGAGGAAGGTGAGGCTGGGGCTGGCCACAGCCCTTCCCTCGGGGCTCTGTGCCTCACCAGACCCTGGCTCTGCCCTCTGGCCTCTGCCTCCCCGCGGTCTGGAGAGAAACCCCAGACAGAGGAAAGCAGCTGTGCCAGATGGGACAGCTGAGGAGGAAGACGTGACAGAGTGGGACGTGTGGGCTGCAGAAAGTGGCGGGGTGAGAGTGATCCTCAGGATCCTTGGGCAGGGGGAAACATGGCTGGCTGGCTGGGGGAGCCCACATGGGAAACAACGGGAGATGGAAACGAATAGGCAGAGAAGCAGCACAGTAGGGGCCGGAGAAAAGATATTTGGCTAGGCGAAAGGCAGCTGGCACTCTGAATCTTGTCAAACATGCGTTTATGAAACATTGGTTCTGACTCAGGGTCTGGGGAGTTTTGGTCAAACAGCTCTGACTTTATTTCTCTGGGACAACATGCTTTATGCTGGATTTGTGTTGCTCAGAAGCTGTTTTTTTTACCCCTTCCTTTCTCTGTAGAGTGATCACCATCCATTATATCTGCACAGATTTATTTGTCTTTTGAAGACTGACGCATAACCTTAGCAGTTAACTAAGTAGGCTAAAATCTGCTGTCACACAGAAGAAGATGGTAAAGCTGACAACATAAAACTTAAGAACGGTGATCAGACTCAACTCAGCTGCATTTCACCATTAAAGTAAAATCACCGTGTTTCTGTTCCATTTGGTCTCAGTAAGCAAAGATCATAACGTAGCCCATTGTATGCTCTTCTGGAGCATACTTGTGTAGGAATTTACTATGCTCCAAGTTTCTGCAACTTTCTGGTTTGTACATTATTGGATGGTATACCTGGAAATGTAAATACTCAGTTGAAAATATAGTTCATAATAGAGGGTTTGTACCTACATCTCAAAAAGGATTAACTGCATTCCCCACAGGCAATACCTATGTGAAGTTAGCCTATTTGCTTTGAGGCAGAAAAAGCCTGGAGGAATGGAACTTTATACCCTTCCACCCTTTTTAACATTGAAAAAGATTAGGATTATTGACAGTCCTGTCTTGTTAAAGAGTTTTCCTCAGAGGAGATACTGTCTTAGAATAGACTTCAGCAGCAAAGTTCAGCAATTAGAAAGAGAAAATCTTTGACCACAAAAACTAAAACAATATAAAGGAGAGTACAAATGTCTTATTAGTGAAAAAGTTGTTTTAAGTTAGTAGAATGAAACTAACAATTCTGTTGTGTTATAGCATTTGATCCTTAAACAGAGCCATGTTGTAGCTGATAATGTGCTATAAAATGGTGCTTTTTAAAAAGAAGACATTTCTCTATCCAAGAAAGAAAATGTGGATTCTGATGAAACTTAAAAACCTGAAACTAGCACATTATGTTGCAGGAAATGCAATTATTTTTTAAAATGGAACAAAGTGCAACTGAGAGAGAAGAGTTCACAAAAGTGAATTTAGAAAATGTTTCAGAAGTGAAGCTTCCTACCCAAAGGCCAAAGGAAAAGCAGACAAGTCAAACAGGAACATTTGGTGATTGAGACAGTGATTTGTTACACAGGTCTGATGAGTGAAAAAGTCATTTTACAAAATTCAAGAAAATGAACTGCTCTATCAGTGGATCAAGGAGAAAATAAAATGAAAAGCTTTCTTTGAAGTTTTTGAGACTTGACTGCTTTTGTGTTTCAAACTGAGAAAGCTGCTGTAGGCTGGGATAGTGTTCAGTGTCACTTATTAAAGAAATGACTGTGTTTTGTGGAGGATGTTTCAGTGCCTCTAATTACGGCAAAGAAACCGCTCTCCCTAGAAAGAAGAGTCTGGCTCCAACTATACTTCTCACTGTCTGAGAATGACTATTCAGTGAAATTAACAGTTCTGTAAAAGATTCCTTCAGAGACTGAAAAAATTCAAAGTGGGACAAGTATTTGACATTAAACTGTGTAGCTTTTGACTCCTGCAGCTATTTATCATGTGCTTGATTTTACATGGTAAGTAACTCACAATAACTCAGGATTGCATAAAGCAAACCACGCTTGTGAAACATATACAAGTGCTTTCAGAATCAGGATCAAGGCCATTATTTCAAAGGTGTGTAGATACCTGGCTTCCATGGAAATGAATCAGATAGTATGAGCCTAAATGTTTGAGAATAAGAGTAAAATGTGAATTACCTTTGCTCGACTCCAACTTTTGCAAAATGTAAAATCACTTTCTGTTAGAAAGGTGACTTTAATTTTATTCTGTCGGTCATATCAGTACATCCTAATCTTAATCTATATCTGTATCTTAATCACTGTGCTGTAATCAGGTCATGTCTTTCTAGTGTACTTCAAAATTAGTAATTGTCCTTTGTAATCAGGCTGCTGTGCTTAATAGTAAAGTTTCTTCTACAAGTTTACTCTCTAGTTTGTGTAGGAAAAGAAAAGAAAGATTTTGTTTGTAATTTTCAAGTCTATAAAAATATTTATTAGTGTATTTTTTTTCTAAGTCGTATATGCTCAGATTATTTAAAAAATTCTTTTTCTGAAAGCGAAACTGAAAGAGGCAAAGGTAAAGAAGTGACAGGGTAAAAATTAGATGATGCAATATGGTCTTCACCATAAAAATTATATAGGAGAAGCTAGAAATTGTAGGATTATAGTTAAAAATAGTTCCCTCTTTTGTTCGTAAGCACTGTTAGTATTATCTTTTCCATATACAAACTATACTGCTTAGTTTTGAAATGTATTTATAGCAAACCTTCTTCCCAAACTACATCTCTTCAGTCTTCCTTTGCTCTTGGGGGTCTTTTGCTATCTATTCTTGCACTTTTTTTCTACCCTACATGAAGGAATAAGGCTGAATTATTTTGTGGCATAAATTCACAGCTACCATTTCATGTTCAGTGCTGAAGTCTGAGCCGTCCTTTACTGGGAAATAGCATATATAGTATCATAGAATCATAGAATGGTGAGAGTTGGAAGGGACCTCAAAGATCATCTACTTCCAACCCCCCTGCCATGGGCAGGGACACCCTCCACTACACCAGGTTGCTCAGAACCTCATCCAACCTGGCCTTGAACACCTCCAGGGATGAGGCATCCATAGCTTCTCTGGGCAACCTGTTCCAGTGCCTCACCACCCTCAATGTAAAAAATTTCGTCCTTATATCTAATCGAAATCTATTCTATATCTGTATGTATGTGCGTATATATATATATAAAGAAAAAAAAGAGCATTAACCCCTTGGAATGCAGTGTGGAGCAGCAATGCTGATGGAGATAGACCAAAAATAGTAAGAAACCCAGTAATTGTGTGGTATAAGCAAGCATAAAAAAAAGCAGTTTTATTCAAAATTAATTTTATAATGTGGCTTTTAAAATCAAAGTTTTAGCTGCAGTATTCAAAACTTCATTGTTAAAATACAGCAAGCAGTGAAAAGTGCTAACATGTAATAAAGTGGTTTTAATACAAATCAAGAACATTTTATGGGGTTGTTCTCCCCCTCCAGCTGGTCACCTATTGCACTGTAGGGGAGAGTGGAGCTGTTCTGCCGCTTCCGTTGCCTGTCTCCTGCCCAGGCTGAGTGGGATGCAGGGAGCACGGGAACAGCAGAAAAAGCACTTGGTGCTCTCTGCTTGAACATATTCGAGTTCCTAGAAATAAAAAGAAAATTAAAAAAAAAAAAAAAAAGCCTCACCTGCTTCTGAAAACCTAGAGCAGGACAGCAGAGAAGAGGAAGAGGAATACGAAAATGCAGCAATAACCTATAATTTACAACCTATCTCTAATTTCCTGAGGAACTCAGGTTAAACACAGTCTAGTTATTGTCTCTGGAAGAGTGAGACTTGGGCTAACCCATAGGCTGGAAGTTCTCCATTTCTAGTAGACTGCTCAGCAAGGGACTTCTGAATGGACACCCTGTTTCCTCCTTGTAACACGGAGGAAATAAACTACCAAATTCCATATAATAAAGTATAAAACATGGGAAAATGTAGAAATAAATTCCTGGCAAATTATATGCAAACGAATACAGAATGTGCCCCAAATCCCTATTTGTTTGCTTATTCAGGTGAAAAAGCTGTGAGTTAGTGAAAAGCCATGTGTGTTTAGAATGTGTAATAAAACACTAAGAAGTAACTTCAGACTCCCCCTAACATGTCTGGCTGCAGTGGGGAATTAGCTATACTCTTTTCCATTTTGGTAAGAATGTAAACAACTTCACAACAGATGTTCTTTGTAAGGATGGAGCCTGCTATTTGCATTGTGATACCTCCGTTTGAGTCTTATATCCAAGATTTTGTTTAATTCCATCTGGAAGGGCTTCATTGGATTCCTTTGGGTTACAAAAGCAAAGATTACTCTTTTATGGTTTTAAACCTAAGTTTTCTATTGTCTTTGGTTATAGACACACAGCACCTGCTTTCTTTGCTGCTCGATAACCTTGCAGTTATACAGGTATCCATATTGTTCCTCTGTAGTGTTTTGGAGCCTGAAATATATTTCAGTTGTCATTTTTACTGGATCTAAGAGTCTATCCTAAAACTTTTATACTCTCTTATGCTGCAGTATTTGGATAAGTGACAAGCGAGGCTCTCATTTTGAAACATTTATCAGAGCTCTTATTTATCTTGGCATAATGGTAGTAACTTTTCTAATGGAGAAAGAATTTTTCAGATCTGGAGTGCATATCACAGTACAAAATAATGCCTTGGCTTCGCATTTGCATAGTAAATTTTCTTAATTATTTGGCTGGAAAACTGCAGTTTGCTTCACATCGATACTGTTTATCACCAAGTTGGCACCCAGTGTAAGCTACAATCGAAACAGTGAAAAAATACTTTTTGGATTTTTATTGTTTATATCTTCCATTTATAACAGATATTGGCTTTTTTATTTTTTATTAGCAGAAATGTAAATGAATTATCCATTATGTTGTAA